TCGAATGTTAGGCAACAATGCGGATGCTCATATTCGACCTTGGGCTTGGATAAAATTTTAATTAGCTTCATTACATTAAAGCAACCGTAGAAGGACACGTGGCTCTACCTGTTGCCACTTTCGGTCTACCTCTTTCACGCGATAGACTGTAAGAAGAGATATCATTGAGAGACAACTGATGTTGGTCACTAATTTCTTGCTCTTTCAGGAGAGTACACGAATGTTGTTCCCGTTGTGATGGGTGGCGCTGATCCCTCAGACTACAAACGAATGGCTATTCCGGGGTCTTATATCAATGTTGTGGACTTCAAGACTGTAAAACAACTAGCAGAATATCTTCAATATCTGGACAAAAACATCACAGCTTACAACGAGTATTTTAAGTGGCGGTTAAAATACAAAAGAAGTCCTTATCACTACCCGCTGTGTAACTTTTGTAGATCACTCGCCTTAAAACCTGACCTTAGAGAAACGAAAATTTATCAAGATCTTCGCAAATATTGGTTAGAAGAAGGAATGTGTGATCAACAGAACCAACGTATTAGAAACATGTGGTAAGCCATGACTAAAGGCTCGGAAAGGTTGACACGGTTAAGTTCAGTTATCCTACACACGGACAACTGCGTGGTGTGTCATTCATGAGACACTAAAAGATGAACGGGAAAATTTCCATTTGGTGCGTGGCACTCATAATCAGAGCAACTGGTATACTAAAATCAGTTTAGCATTTATAAAGAAAAAGTGCCATAATAAGCGACAATCTGCTTACGTACGGGCTTAGCCCTTGATAAGTGGAAAATTAACTTGTGGTTGTTGAAGATTGAAAGTTTTTAAAGCCCACAAGCTACCTTAAGTTACTGGAAGTCCCAACGGCCGGTAGACAGTTAGTCTGCTACACAGCCGTTTTTAGGGTCGTCACGCAACGCTGCAGAGAAGCGTTGCGTGACGACACTAAAAACGGCTGTGTAGGAGACTAGTAGGCAGTAGACCGTGAGGGTAAACTATCAACCCTCCATGGAGATTTCATCTGAAGTTCAATTTTAGGAGAGGTTTCTAGAGGAATGTAAAATGTTAGCTACGATGGACCGCTACGAACAGACTTATGTCAAGACAATCCACCCATTACAGTCAGAACTTTAAGGTGACTCGACCCAGTTATTTTGTGAGGGTACCATACTACTTTGAAGCTCTCTGGCATCCCCACCTTTAGTTTGATCGTAAGTCTAACACATAGAATGGATAACATATAGATCAATCTACAATATAGCATAAAATTTTTGGCGATCGGAGTAAATGTCACCTGGTTTTAGTGCTACGCCTCTTGGGGGTCTGAGTCGAATCTCTCGGCTACATATAATTCGCATTAGTGCCTTCCGTTGAACAGAGTTTAACCAAAATCGGAAAGACCAATGGGAGAAATTCAGCGGTTTGCAAATTTAGGTCATAATTTATGTGAAAATGATAAGCAAACTTTAGACGATTATATTTAGTAAACTATGAGATTTGTCCCTTTATTTTTGGGATCTTTACAACAGATGGGTCCTTGCAAGTCAGTAAAAAGCTTTAGGGCCTTGTAAATGCGCGCGATTTAGAGCAATGCAAACATATAGAAATTATGGTTTTAGCTATTTGTTGACGTTCGTCAGCGTTTAAGAATCCGTCTCACGAAAAAAGCATTTTCTTAAAAACTCGTAGTTTTTTTTTCAATTTTTTTCAGGGCCACAATTGATTAACTAACTACCCGGATTCTGAATTTCATGGTCATTGACAAACTGTGACATTATCTTTTATAAGCCCAAACTTGAGTAAACATTGAAGATTTTTAGCGTTTTGGCTGAGTTTGTGCTTTGGGAATTTTCTATTGTTTCTAGTCTGTCATGATACAGCATTCTTGTTCAGCACGCGTGCAATGACCGCGCTTGGCTGACTTTCGAATGCTCACGACTGGATTGACTATAATGGGGTCGCACATTTCCGGATTTTTGGGGGTAAGACAGTTCGTCATTATAACAGTTAGTAAACGTACCAGAATGTCTGTACTGTAGGTGAAAAATGGGTTAACTCATTATAGGATGACCTATCTAGATAGGTGTCTTAGTTAAGATCGCGAAAATTACATATTTGCCCAATAGTGACCGAGATGGGGTCTATAATTGGCCACAGAATAGACTATAATGGGGTAGGGGCTCTGAGAGGCCAGCGGCACATACCCAGCAAAAAAGAACCCAAGTACTCCGCGGGGGTTTTGATCACACATAAGAACGGTGATTTCGGCGCGATTTCTGTAACGGGGCGAAGATGCGCCGCGCTGAAGGATCACATATCGGATAGGTGTTCGTAATATAACCGATAGCTTTTCTAGCCGACAAGAACAGCTACCCAGTATAGTGTGCAACTGACTTAAGGATTATAGAGAGAGCAAACCAGCTAAGTTAAAACCATGAAATGGCCAGAAATCTGCTTGGGAATCTCACAGGATCGAAGACGTTTCGCGCAGAGAAACGACGTTCCTCCGCGCGATACGTCCCCAGCGGCGAAGAGCGAGGAGAAACGGATGTTTTCGCAGGCTACACATTCGTATGCTACAGAAACAATCCTTTTTGTACACCATACGAATCCTTATACAGTCAAACCCCGTTAACATGGACACTGAAAGGGGCATAAAAGGAGCCCGTATTAAGAGGGCGTCTGTAAAGCGGGGTTTGACCGTATTCGAACGTACACAACAATGCAGGGCCCAGTTGTTCGAAGGCCGATTAGCGCTTAACCCGGGGTTAAATTTAACCCGGGTTTTCTCGTATAATTTTCTGACAAAAAGAATTAAAACTGAAATGCTTTTTAAGCTTTCAAATCTGGACCCAGTTGTTCGAAGACCGATTAGCGCTTAACCCAGGTCACTTTTTTTTTGGTCCGAAAGCATTTTCTCGGATAAATTTCTCTGTTATTTTTAAGAGCATCCAATCATCAACTTGTTGACAGAAAGAATTAAATTGAATTTACTTTGTAAGCTTTCATATCTGAATGCAAATTTCGCGCTAACTCTGCGTTATCTTCACCCAGCTTTGAACAACCCGGCCCTGAATTCAAATCTCGCACTAACCCTGGGTTATCTTAACTCAGCTTTGAATAACTCGGCCCCGATGGTCATATCTCAAACTTGGGCCAGCTGTATCCACAGCAACTCGACAGCTAGACGTATTTCCAAATTGAGTGAAACACACACACACAAAAAATGCTCAAAACCTTCAAAGAAGGACTAGATCACACAGCAAATAGAAAAGGAGGTAGGGATGGACAAATTTGAAAAGGTTTAAAACGGATTATGCAAATTATGGTTTCTGAAAACTTGTTATCTGAACCTGACAGTTTTTCAGAGTTGGTGACATCACAAGTGATTAACGCTGCCTTTAACATTAAGTAGCTGTTTATAAAAGCTCCATAAAATTTGAATAGTCGTCAGACAAATAAAACTGGAAAAATACCTCCTTGTGTGATCTGTTGCCGGACTGTTTGCACTAAACCCTTGGTGAGTAATTTTCATCTTCTATCTTCACCATCGATGAAGGGAGTCGGAGTTATTTTTTAATAACTTTAGAATATCGCTTTTTAATACAACCGAAAGCTGTTTTTCGTACAAGACTTTTAATATGCTGCTGGCTTCGCCATGACGACAAGTTGAAATGTGTCTTGTGGCTGCTTTCTATGTGACCGAAAAAAAGAGATCAGACTTCCACACGATCGATGCGGAAAGGAATCAGATTTATTTTTTACTTTAGAATATCACTTACATTCGAAAGCTTTTTTCGTTCATGCTGTCTCCTTTGCCATGGCGACCAAGATAAGTTGAAATCTAGCTCTTTTTAATTTCACCGATAAAGAAAAATAATCATCAGGCTTAAAAAGACCAAAATATTTCACCGCAGAAATTGCCAATTTCTTACGATCAACCAATGGTTACTCCTTTTTAAGAGTGGGACGAAAACCGACGAAAACAAGTGTTTCATGGATTGCTGGAGGCAAGCAGTCATGCCGTGATTTATATTAACATTCGGGTTTGATGAAAATCGTTTCTTCCTTGTGAAAAATGATAAGGAACTGAACTGTTAAATAAAACGGTCGATACTTCTGTTTCTGGCGTCGGTTGTTCAAATGTTGGATAGCGCTATCCACCTGATAAATCACTATCCACGCGGATAAATGTAAGAGAAGCCAATTACTCTATCCGCTGGGTAGTGACTTATCCCGTGGGTAGCGCTATCCAAGGTTTACACAACCGCGGCCTGGCCCCAAAAGTTGTTCAAAACACGGTCGATACTTCTATTTCTCGCAGCGGTTGTTCAAAAGTTTGATAGCGCTATCCAGCAGATAAACCACTATCCAACGAATAAGAGTTAAAGAAACCTATTGCGCTATCCAATGGATAGTGATTCATCCCGTGGATAGCACTATACAGCGTTTGTACAACCGCGGCCTGGCTCCGGTTGTTCACCGTTTGCGCTATCCACCGTTTGAATCACCAGGGCCTGGTGTATTGTCGAAAGAATGTTTAGACTAAAACGATGAATAATATGAAAAAAATACTATACCAGCTGTATGGACTGCATAATAAGTAGCCAGCTGTTTAAACATTGCTAAAAGAGTGCTTTCAAAAGTCAATTTATTAGCATAATTATTAGCATAACGACAAGCGTCATATAATCAATATACGCGACGACCTCTTGTTACGTTAGGTCAAGCCCAAATGTCGAAATTTACAATCAGCCTCGGAGACCTAGGGGCGGTCAGCTGGACCGCGAGAAACGGCGGCGAAAGTTTTAAAGAACGGCCGAGAGAGCCGCTTGTATCCTACTCTTAACGAACCAGTTCCACGACTCAATCGAATGCTTGTCTCAGATTGGGCACAAAAAAAACAATCCGAAGCCAGAATTTATCGTGCTGCTCAAAGGAACTGCAGAAGAGTTGATTAAAATGTTACTTTTGGCGGGCAAAACAACCAAAACTGCAACGATAAAACTATTTTTAAAGTATTTTCGTTTGTTTATATCAAGCTTTATAACATAACTAAGATAGTACGCGCGCTCTGATTGGCCGAGAGGCGTATTTGCATGAGAAAATGTAAACATGGGTTGTGACTTCAAGATGTCTTGCTTTTCGCGCGCTAATCACGTAAGCACGAATTTGAAAAAGGTTTTGAGTTGAAAAACTCGTCAAGTTTACTTCATTTACCCATTTCCTAGTCGGCTGAAACTTGGAAAATCTTTAGAAACATGCAGTGTCAATTTTTTTTCGCTTGAGCGAGAAAAACCCGTATTTTGGAAAAGATCTTTTCCGCAAAACAAGGACTGATTACGCGTACAAGTTTCGTGTACAAGACTTTGCCACTGGTAAGAATTTCTCTTTTAATCAGTGCTCTGAACAAGAGAGTTTTGCTTTTTTTCTCTTGAAAGTTATTTTATAAAAGCAATAGGAAACTTTTTCTCTGTGTTTGTATATCCTGATATAAACACTCGAGGGGTTGGGAAAATTCTGGACAGTTATGCAAAGCCTCGACCTCGTCT